GGTGTTTCTGGCTTGCCATCCCACCAGGCTCACCCATGGCTAAAAGCTCAGGGTAAGAGGAAGAAGGTCCTCAAAGATGCTACGAGCTGTGATTCCTTAAACCAGGGGCTGACCTGAGATGACACCTGTCCCACAGAGCTCTTCTTCCTCTCCAGTTCCACACCATGTCAAACCCATGCCGCAGGAGAGGAGGAGAAGATAACCTCAGGTGTGTTTTCCTGGGTAACCAAATCACTGAAGCCATGGGGAAGGGCCCAGGTCTGAGTTCTTGCAGTGGTTCTCCACTGTCAGGTGCTTTCCCTGAGCTGAACAGAGCAGGGCTGTGACCTGCAAGCATCCAGCCAGGGCATTGCACCGGGCAGCAGAGCCCAGCCAGATACCAGCTGTGGGCACCAGCTTGGGCAGAAGATGCTCCATCTCTTGCTGCCTCCCTCCAGCGTGGGCAGCGCTACCCACCGCCATGCCTGGTGGCCTGAAGCCACAGGAACATCCAGCTTCCAAAATGCTCCAGGCTTTCAATTAGCTGCACCTCCGCAAGGATATTGCTCAGCTCGACGTATCTCCAATCTCCCGTGATGATGGATCGGGGTTTGACAGGAGAAGCACAGCTGGCAGAGAGAGGAGGTCTCTTCATTTCCTGTAACTTCCCAAGCGCTTCTTAATAACGCCCGTGCTCGTAAAGGTCTGTGGTTCTTGCAATCACGCGGAGAAATAATCTCCCCGGCTGACGCTGATGTGTTGCTACCTCGGGGTGAGGAGGCAGCAGCTGTGTTTCAGCACATTGCACAACCGCCGAGGGTGGGAAGAGCTGATGTATGCTGGATCCCACTGAAAGAGGAATTTTGGGTCAGCAGAATATTGTTGCCGGCGCGGGGACGTGGCCAGGTTGCTATGGGGACACCTGTGCCTTTCGGTTTGCAATCGTGCAAGGAATGGGGATGCTCTTTCACCTGATTTCCCTCAGAAATCATGTTCCTGGGATCCTCGCTTCCAGCCACCAGCCCGGCTCCCCCTCTCCGATGGTGTCTCAGCCCGGTGGCAACCTCCAGCCACATCTAAGAGAAGGGTGGAGGGTTCTGAGACACAAAGCACCCACAACAAGCCCGTGCAACTCCTGGCCTGGGCACCACGTGCATCTTTGGCAGGTATTTGGTGCTGGTTGGAGCTCAGCCATCAGCCAGGGGGACATTCACCTGCCCCCAGTCAGCCAGCACCCACAGTGGCACAGAGGGACGATGCTGGCGTGGAGGTCACGGGGTTCTTGGTGGAGCAGGGACTGACCTACAGAGCTGTGCTTTGCCCAGGGGACCTGGGCTTTGCAGGCAACCACCAAATTCCCGTCTTTAAAACGAGGTCAAGACCCAACCCTGCCTGTGTGAGGGGCTGGAGGATGAATACTTCAGCGGCTGGAAGGGTGTTTTTCATTCCCAGTCGGGTGGGTTTGGTGGAGCCAGGGATGAAATCCAGGGGAAAATCCAGCAGCCAGCCCCGTGAGCCAGCAGGTTGGGGCTGAGAGCCAGGACAGCAGGAAACCCACCTGCAGAACCAGCTGGAGCATCTGCCTCCCCTTGTACCCGTGGCAGAAGGAGATGGAGTCGGGCTGGGGCTGCCGTAGCTCTGGGGAGAGGGGGAATTGCAAAGAGAAAAGGAAAATTCATCCCCAGAACTAACCTGTGCTGAAAATAATCAGTGACTAATTTTGTATCTTTATGATTGCCTCTTAACTGCAAGTTATTAAAGACAGGGAGGAAGGAGATGATGTCCTGGTGGGAGGATAAACGAGCGTTGCCATAGAAGTGAGGGGATGCTGCAGCAACAGCTCCGTCCGTCTGGACCACGAACCGCGAAGCCGCAGCAAAGCTCTGCGGCCGGGGACGCACCCCTGTGAACCCGAGGCAAGCTGACAGCCTGGGAAGCCAGGGAAGACAGATTTGTGTTATCAAGCCAAAGCCAGAGAGTCAATATTTAGCCTGGACGTGGAGCGCAGCCTGTGTGCAGCCAGGCCCCCGTCCATCACACTGCTTCATTGCCCTCCCCAGCTTTTCCACCAGCAGCTTTCTCTCCGCCCCGGATTGTGTTTCCCCCTCCCTGAGCTTACCCCGTCCCAGAGACACCTTTTATCAGTCTCAGGGCAAGGGAGAAGCCGAGATTTGGGGGGGGTTCAAGGGATTAAGAAGGAATTTGCCTCTGGGAATCTCTTTCCTCCACCTGCCTGGGATAAATTGTCCGATGGAGGCTTTGCAGCTCAGCGGGAAACTGCTCAGAGCGAAACATGTGGAGGCAAAAAACACTCCCGATCCCTCCCCGCTGCAGGAACTGGGTGTTGAAAGATCCTGGAAAGGGTGAGAAGAGCTCTCTGTCCTGTGGCCCCACGTAGGGACGGAGGGGGAAGATGTTTTGCCCGAGCTCTGTGCGTGCAGACCTTGCCTGTTCAACCCCTGGGCTCTTTCCTGGGAGGCCCAGCTCTCCCCTGGGAGGCAGGAGCAAGCTCAGGAACCTGCAAACACCACGGGAAACATGATTAACTGGGAGAAGGGATTTTCTTTTGGCCTGTTTATAATTTTCTGCTTTCGTTATGTCCCTATAAAGCAAACACAGCTTGCCGGTTAACAGCCCTGACCTTACTGGAGCAGGAATAAAACTGAGTAAAATACCCTTGGTGTGGGCACCCGCAGCCCTGGCACACCCTGTGTGTGTGTGTGTGTGTGTGTCTCTACAGCTCCATCCCTTCCTCCATCTGCATTCAGCTTCTGTGGCGCGTTCTTTGTACCACGGCAGGGTTCATGGCGTGTCTCTGCCAAAGAGGGAAAATCCCTGCCCTGGAAAGCAGAGGACTGTTCCCGAGTTCCTTTGCTGCCTGCTCCCAAAGCAGGACCGTGACCCAGTCTCTGCGGGTGTCCAGAGCCTGGGAAAAACACTACGTGCCCTCCGGGGTGCCAGTGCCCGGTTTATTCCTCCTTTACATCTTTCAACCAAAGCCCTTTCACGCCTCTGCTGAATAAAAATGTCAATACTGCAGATGTGAAACCTCAACAGTTTTGGGGTTGTTTTTTTTTCAAACCTGAAGCCACCTGAAGTGGCTCTCCGTAAAAGAGATGTCCACAAAGCAGGATGCCTCCAAGATATGCCGGGCTGGTACCAGCCCTGGCTGCACCACATCTTTCAGCAGGGGAGTTGGACTAGATGATCTCTATGGTCCCTTCCAACTCTAAAAATTCAGTGAAATTCAGTGAAATCCCCTGGGACAGGTGCTTTTGCCCGAGGCTGTACCTGCCTGTGCTGAGCTGGGGGCCCTGGGCAACCTTCACAGGCAGGGCCAGAGCCCCGTGGTCCTTCTTGGCTCCCCACACAAGAGATGCTTCATCTCCTCACTACCTCCTGTGAGTGAGAAGCTGTGGTGAGGACCACATCCCTCCCCAAGAGGTGCCAGGGGCTACGTCAGGTCCCCTGGGGACGTGGTTGCAGGAGCAGAGGGGTCGGAGAGCAAAGGACCTGCTCTAAATACTGGCAAAAAGTGGTTTTCACTGGGGTTGTCTAAGCTCTGCTGGTCCCAGGGGGGTTGCTCCTCCTGTTTCTTCCACCACCTTCTTAACCATGCCTGGCAGGCTTCTGATCTGTCTCTCTGCATCCCTGGCACCCGTGTCCATCCCACAGCTGGCCCAGACACCCTGCGATGGGGAGCAAACGGCCCCTTCTCCCCTCTCCCTGCTCCCCAGGGTGGGCTCACAGAGGGACGAGCCATGTCCCAGGTGCATCATCCCCTTGAGAGCTGCGTCCCCCCTGCAATGGGGCAGCCCCTACTTTTGGAGCCTGGGGTAAACTGCCTTTTGTGGGGCTGAAGCGCGGGTGCTGTGGCTACCGGTGATTGGGTGCTATTTTGCTCCTGCACCGTTCGGCAGCTGTTGCTGTTTATTACCCCGGAGAGCCCGAGCCGGCCGGGGGGGCTGGAGGCAAGGCAGCAGCGGTGGTCGAGCCCCAGGTAGGGCTTTTTATGGCTTTTAACCCTTGCAGGTGGATGTGGGGCAGCCCATGGGCACAGCCCGGGGGGCAGCCCCCCTCGCCCCACTGCCGGCCGGCAGAGGATGGGGGGCCGGGGGCCCTGTCCTGGCACTGCCCTGCCAGCGTGCACAGGGAGAGCGGGGCGGGCGAGGGGGCTATTTTTGGAAGTTTCTTTGATGTGAGTCAGCGGTAGAGGCAACCTCAGGAGCTTGTGGAGGAAAAGTCCCAGCGACAGCAGAGCGGAGCCGATTAATTCGTTGAATGTCTGCTGGTTTTTTTGTAATTTTTTGTGCATTTTGTGCATTTGTGCATGTGCATTGTGTGTCTGAGGGAGCGGGAGCATCAGGGAGGGGATGGAGATGTCGAGCGGTCACACGGGAGGGCTCCTGAGCAGGAGGGCTGGAGCTGGGCTTTGGGGCTGTGGGTGACCAACCCTGCCATGGGCAAGCTGTCTCTGGCATTGGTGGCCATCCCTGCCCTGCATGGCCTGGGCAGTGGCCGTTTGCTTCGTACATCGGTGCTGGAGCTGCTCCGGTAGGAACCAGCCCCAGGAAACCTGGTCCTATGGGTGACACGACCCATCCCGATTGGGGATGAGGATCCCGTGGGGGCTGTGGAGCCCTGAAATGCATCCACCTCCCCCCGGGGCACAGACCCCATCTCCCATCCAGGGGGGAACAGACCCGGGCATGGATGTGGTCTGCTCTGGGAGTGAGTTAGTGCCCACGGGGTGCTCGGAGCAGGAGGAGGATGGCTGCAGTGTGGCTGTCATGGAGCCCTGCAGCCGTTGCAGCCAAACCCGGGGGCTGGAAGTGATTTGGGCTCCTCCGTCTGGGTGAAGCCAAAGGGATGGAGGTGTGGGAACAGCCCAGCACCCCACAGCTCGGCCCAACAGGGATCTGGGACCGCAGCGAGGATGTGGCAGGGCAGCCACGGGGCACTGCTGACCCCCCGGCGTTTGTTTTATCCCTCTCGGTTTAGTGAGAGTCCCTCCAAGTGACATGGCAGCAGGTCCCAGTGAGGTGTTGGAGAAAGACTTGGGATGCCCCGAGGCCACCGAGGAGCTGCCCGGGCAGGCAGGGAGCGCTCAGAGGCGGCCGAGGAAGGACGGGAGAAAAGGTACCTTGTCCTCACCGTGAGCCGGTGGCCGGGAGGTGCCGGCCGTGGCTGTGGCCGTGCCAGCGCCGCTGCCCTTGTGTTTGAAGCCCCACAGGAGAGGGCTCAGCCCGGCAGAGGTGGCTCTTTGTGGTGCAGTGAAATCACAGGGCAACCTTGGACATCGAGGGGTCCCCACACGGTGCCGACCCCAGGTGGATGTCGGCCATGGCCAGTGCAAAGAGGAATAGAAGCTCGTGCCCTCCTCCATCTTCCTCGGGCTCATCTTTGCTCAAAAAAAGCCACAAACCTGTGAATAGCTGCGTAGCTCAAAATCACAACAAGCACTTGGGGGAAAAACTCTTTAAAGAATTTTCCATCTTCATGGTTTCTTTGGGGCTGGGAACCCCCTGAGGCAACGAGAGAGTCTTGGGGCAGCTCCTTCGCCTCCCAGCAGAGAAAGGACCAGACTCACCATCGCCAAAACAAAAGCGAAGACTTTTTTCTTATTTCCTCTTGAAAGCAAAGACCTTTCAGGCCGCAGTTCCCCAGCCAACAGGCTTCCTCTTATTTATTTGTTTGGCTTCCAATATCGTGTCTTAGATTTCATCCTGGGAATTGGCATTTTTTCTCAGCATTCGTTCTTCCACTGGGGAAAAATAAACTAAATCCAGCTCAAAGGGGGGCAAAAACTCTGGCGAGGGTTTGCAGGGATGTGGCATCCGGATCCCAGCCTGGGAGGTGCCGGGGGGGCTGGGGCTGCTTGGAATTGGGACATGTTAGTGTCTCCTCACCCCCAGAGCTCACCCCAGAGCCGGGGGGCAGGGAAACCCCCAAGGAGCCCGAGGAGCCCGGCACAATCCCCAGCCCTTGGTTGCGTCAAACCTCTGCAGAGCTCTTGGGACCCTCTGGTTTTCTCTCCCTCTTCACATCTGGGTGAAGCCCTGAGAGTCAACCATGAGCTTCACGGTCTTCTTGGGCACCTTGAGGTCTTCTTTGAGGTCTGCTTGCTCCATGGTACCTGGAGCTTGTCCTGCTGTCGAGGCTCCAGCCTTCCAGCCTCTAGCCATGTGTTTTCAGGGTGTGTTTGCACATCTTGGGCTGTTGGTCCCCCCTGGGCATCTTGGCAGGGAGGTCACCGTCCCCCTCGGCTGCAGCTCCCCGAGGACATCCAGGACAGTATGTTTTGGGCCGTACCTGCTGAGGCTGATGATGTTTTGGGGCTTAGAAGCCACAGACCTGTGTGGTCCTGCTCTTACACCCTGAACTTGCCACGATGGCCGGGGTGGGGGTGCTTTTTACCTGTCTGCTGATACCTCTCCAGGGGTGACCCGGCTGCACTAACAGGGGAAACGGGCCCACGATGTCCCCACTCTTTGGGCCACGTGCCCCCAGCCCCTGGCGATGCCCACCTAATTCACCACCTAATGAACTGCCCTGTGCTTGTCTTTCACAGATGCTGACACGCCGGTGAGCAGCGACGGGGAGAGCAGCAGAGCGCATGTAGGTGTGGAGCATCCCGGGGGGCTGAGGGGGGGCTGTCCTGCAGCCACATTCCCCCCCAGGAATAGGCTCTTGGGGGGGTGTTGCAGCGTGTCCCTCCCGGGGGAGCCGAAGGCCACGTCCCTCAGCTGTCGCTGTCACTGATCTGGGCCGTGCTCTCCCTCATGGCACCGATCCGGTGCCGCTGACACAAGCCAGCAACCAGCCCGGCCACCAAACCCCCCGCCAGCCCCGAGCCCAGACCCCAACACAGAATCACAGAATCTTCTAGGTTGGAAGGGACCTTAAAGATCATTTTGCCAACCGTCAACCTCACTGACAAAAATAGACACCCACACAACAAACAAGAAGCATCACCATCACTAAACCAGACCTCCCAGCACTACATCAACCCGTCTTTTGAACACCTCCAGGGATGGGGCCTCAACCACCTCCCTGGGCAGCCCATTCCAATGCCTGAGAACCCTTTCAGTGAAAAAATTTTTCCTAATATCCAGCCTCGTGGATATTTGGATATTTTCCTAATATCCAACACCTCGTGGGGTGGGCTTGCTCAAGGGCAGCCCGGGGAGGGGGGGGTCAGCAGCTGCACCTCGGCGCCTTGCTCTGCAGCACGGAGCCAGCTAGTGGCTAAATCCTTCTTAGCAGACCAAAAAACAAAACAAAAAAAACCACTCCAAAGTGTTTTTAAGGCTGTGGATGCAAAGACACGCACCGGGGTTAGGAGCTGGAGGAGCCCTGATGAGCCACGTTAGCACCGCTCGGGGATGGTGACAGCATCAGCTCAGCCCTGGGGGACCTGGGGACAGCGAGCACAGGCTGTGGATGGAGCACAGAGTCCCCAAGCACCCCTTGTTCTGGGAGGGGGGCACAGACCACGCTGTTTGCTTTCCCCACGGGGCCACGCGATGTTCTTACCCCCCGGCCACGCTCACCCCCTTCCCCACAGGGGCTAGAGGAGGCAAGGACCCGGTTTGGTGTCTCTGAGCAGGATCTGGAGGAGCCTGAGCTGAGCATGCCAGAGCCAGCGCCGCTCGGCGGGGACAAGAAGGTGGCGGAGAAGAAGCGGGTGGAGAAGGTGGGAGCCAAAGGCAGCGCTACATCACCTCCAGGTAGGCATGCAGGAAAGCCCTTCTCTGCCCCAAAATGGCCAAGCCTGGCCCCAGGTGACCACAGAGGCATAGATGCTGTCTTGTGTCCCCAGCCGTGGAGCGGTGATGGGATGAGCTCTGCTCTCCATAGTCCCCTGGGAGCTCGGTGGCACGGAGATGGGGCTTCCCATCCACCTGCCAAACCCTGCTCCTCCTCCTCTTCCTTCTCTCTGTCCTGCCTGGACCTGCTGGGCCGGGAGCAGCAGAGCCTGGAGCATGGGCAGAGTCGTTCCCCGCTTGACCCCCAGGATGCCATATCGCCATCGTGGCCCAAACACCTTGGTCTCAGCGCCCCCATCACACTCTTTTCCCCACCTCTCTGCTGGCAGGGGTTGGGCAGGCAGCTCCTGCCCCTGCCCTTCGCACCCACCCCAGCACGGGGAGCCCTTTGCTGCTCCCCAGCTTCCCCAGTAACGCTGTTTCCCTTTGGGGGGTTCCCCAGTCCCCAAGAGCCTCCCCGTGCAGAGGAAGGTGGAGCCCCCCAGCCTGGACCCCGCGGAGGAGCCGCTCCTCTGGGAAGGGCTCACCCTCAACAAATGCATCCTGGTGGCCTCCGTCGTCGCCCTGCTCAGCGTCACCTTCCAGGTGCTCCAAGGTGAGAGGGGAGCCGGGCAGAGAGGGACGGGGTGGCCAGGACCCCCCTGCCACCTCCTGCCTGCTCTCCCTCCTCTCTTCCAGCACCGTGCTCCAGGGAGGGAATCAGCCGTGGCAGGCAGGACCCTCCACCACCTCCCCTTCACGGTGGGTTCAGATGCTCCGGGCTGCCCCGATCCTCCAGATGGGGCCACGTCCCAGGGTGGAGTGGCCCTGGGGACGCCCACATCTGGGACATCACACCCAGCCTCATCCCCTGCTGATGGTGGCCTGTCCCTCTCCCCTCCCAGAGGTGGTCAGCCCCAAGGAGGAGGTCCAAGAAGTGGTGACTGCGCAGCCTCCCCAGCCAGAGAGCAGCATGGTCGAGGCCGGTGATGGTGACGATGACGGGGGCGATGATGATGAAGATGACGACGAGGCAGACAGCAACCTGGTATGGGTCCAGGGTGGGGGGAGAAGCAGCATCCTCATGGGGGGGAGCATCTCATCCACAGGGAGGGGGATGGAGGAGGGTCATGGTCCCTTGGGCTGCATCACCTGGTCCCTTCTGTCCCCTCCTAGGCAGAGCCCTGGATCTTCAAGAAGTGGTTTGGGCGCTCAACACCGAAGGATAAGGATGAGGATGAGCATGAGGATAAGGATGAGGATGAGGATGAGCATGAACATGAGGATGAGCATGTGGATGAGCATGAGGATCATGAGGATGAGCATGAGGATGAACATGAGGATGAGCATGTGGATGAGCATGAGGATGAGAATGAGGATGAGGATGATGATGAGGATAAAGAGCCTGTGGATGTCCCCGAGGTGCCGCCGGTTGTGATGGAGGTGAAGAAGAGCCGGGAGAAGAAGCTGGAGAAGAAGGAGAAGGTGGAGAAGGAGGAGAAAACCCGGGAGGGTCGTGCCACCCAGGCAGAGCGGAGCAGCCGGAGGGAAGCACGAGCCAGGGACAGGGCCCAGGGGGAGAAGCCCAGCAGAGCCCCCCGGGCCCCCCGGGAGCCGGAGCGGCAGCCCCAGAGGAAGCGGGGCCGGGAGGGGAAGGAGAGCCGGCGGGAGCGGGACGAGCCCAGGAAGGAGGGGTGGAAGGGCCGTCCCGGCAGGACCGACGGCGGCAGGGAGAGCCCGAAGCGGGACTGGCGGCAGCAGAAGGGCAAGAAGCCCTGGGAGGCGGTGGCCAGCCCCGGGAAGGACAACACCGCCAGGGCCAGGGAGGGCAAGAGGCGCAACTGAGGCTGGGGCAACCGAGGGGCCGGAGGATGCTGAATCCAGGGGGGGGTCCAACCCCACCACCACCCCCAGCAAGGGCACCCTCACACTCCCTGCCTGCTCTCCAGGGATGTCCCCAGGCTGGCAGCACAGGCAACGCTCCAGGATCTCCGAGCAGAGCAGCCCAGGAGCCTGGGATGAGCCTCCCCGGGGACTTTGGGCCCCCCTGGATTAGACGCACAAAGGCAACCTGAAGGGACTGGGGGAAGGAGCGTCTTCGTCTGGGCTTCACGCTATTTTTTTCCATCCCCACCCAAAGTCTTTCTTGCAGTTCATTTTCACTCCTGGTCCCCGAGGCATCGGGGCGGCGCAGTGGGCACAGGGATCCCAGTGAACAGAGTTTGTTTCCAGACTGTGTAGCTCTTCGATTCAGTTGATAGTTTTATTCAAAGCAAATCAAGAGAGAAGTGCATTTTGGGGTTAACGAAGCCGGGCTGCAGCCGTCCTGGGAAGGGATGGGAGGATTGACCACCCGGGACCCCGGTGCTGTTGCTGCAGGGTGATGTGAAGCTTGGTGGTGACACAGCAGGGCTGGAGAGCCCATCACCCGGGGGTGCCTTCGGGCTTTGCCTTCACAGAGTCGCTTTTTAGGAACGAAGCACAAGTGCGGTATCACGCAGCGCTGCAGCAGCTACAGGAGACGTTCACAGCCCCGACCCACGGCAGGTTTCAGTATTTGCTAAATCGATAGAGGTTAAAATAAACTATTTTCATTTTTAATAAGGTATTAAACTGAATGTTTTAAAGAAAAAAAACGAGAAAAGATCTTGTCCCTGGTTAGGTTTGTGTGTTTTCTGTGCCCCCCCCACCACCATCCCCAGCAGGCAGGGGCTGAGGGCTAGTGTGGGTGCCTGGGTGGGCTACTGGATGGGGCTGGGGTGTGCCAGCCTCCGGCTGTGCCCCTGCCAGCCCTGTGGGGACACTGGAAAGCCCAAGAGCTGCTCCCTGCAGCCGGGACGAGCCCTGGAGCTGCTTTCCAGGGAGTTGGACCCTGTGGCAGCCCCGGGGGTGTCTCGCTGAGGGCTGGGCTGAGCTGGGAAGATGATCCGGGGGCAGCCGGGCTCCGTGCCGACCCAGAGCAGGTGCTTTGGCAGCGTTTGCAGCCGCTCCTATTAATGGCGTGAGCAGCCCGGGAGGTGTAACGGGATCGCTCCCCTCTCTCAGCCCTCCCTGCCCTCGTCCCCCAGCTCTGGCAGCCCCCCGGCAGCGGGGTCAGTGTGGGGTGACACAGACGTGACCCAGCAGGGAGCCCCAAGCCACCGCCAGCAGCTCTGCATGGCCCCTGGCTCACACTCGGGTGAAAGCACAGATGATCCTGGTCCCTGCTTTGGGGGATTTTTGTCTCTCGTTCTGCTTTTCACGGGTGGAGCCCTGTGGTTGGTGGGGACTTAGAGACGGGCCATGGGCTGGGAAACAGCCAGAGGATGCTGTGAGTTGGGGGGAGCTTGGAGGAAGTAACAACTGCCCTGCCCAGCCGCTACAGGACGAGAAGGCAAGGGATAAATCAGCGTGATTCTGGCCGGCTCCGCCAAGCCTTGCCCTCCTGCCATGGCCCCGTGGGGGGAGCTTGGAGGAAGTAACAACTGCCCTGCCCAGCCGCTACAGGACGAGAAGGCAAGGGATAAATCAGCGTGATTCTGGCCGGCTCCGCCAAGCCTTGCCCTCCTGCCATGGCCCCGTGGTGCCTGTATCCAGCCCAAAGCCCACGGTGGGGTCAGAGCCACACTGCAGCACGGACCCACGGACACCTCGGGCATCCCCAGCATCGGGAGGTTGCGTGGGGCAACAGAGCAGCCCCCAGGGACCAGCACAGCTACAGAACCCAGCAGCAGGGCAGGGCGATGCTAACGAGCCAAACCGTGGGGAGAAGAACAGGCGGGGAGCTCCCGTCTCGGCGAGAAGCACCAGCTCCCCACAGCTGCGAGGGCGAAAACGGAGGGGGAGCGGGGTGAGGGCGAGCAGGGAGGTGGGTGGGAGGGCTCTACCGACAGCCACACTCCTCTGCCACCATGTTGGGGAACTTTCGGACCTCCAGCCCCTCCGCCGAGAGGCTGATGATGAGCTGGTCGGAGTAGCGGACGGGCACGCAGCAGGGAGCCCGCTGGAGGGGCGAGCCCCTCTCCTGCATGCCCAGCAGCAGCACCGTGTGCGAGTAGAAGCTGGGGACGCGGGTGGAGAGGGGCAGCTTGCAGGGCCCCTCGCAGTTGTTGGCGGCGTAGACGGTGGGCATGACGATGAACTTGCGGTCGTGCAGGTCGATGGTCAGCTCCTGCAGGCGGCAGTGGGCCTGGTGCCGGGCGCTGCGGTTCTGCCGCAGCACCTTCCGCCGCTCCTGCCAACGCGCCCGCACCGTCTGCAGCGCCTTCAGCAGCAGCAGAGCGTGGAGCTTCCCCGAACCCGGTGGCCGCTCACCAGCCTGAGCCTCAACCGGCCCCGGCGGGTAGTAGCAGAAGCTCAGGAGATGCTGGAAAAGCCCCGTGTTGGCTTGGAAAGCTGGGATGTCCCTCAGCTCCTGGATGACCGCCTGCAGCTTGCCCATCAGAAGCTGCAGCACGGTCCCCTCCGGCTGCCAGTCCCCCAAGTGCTGCTCCAGCATCACTCCGCTGTCCTGGGGGAAAAGCAACACCGAGGGCTCCTCCGACTGCACCAGCCGCTCCAGCGCCGCCTCCTCCGACAGGTTGAGCAGCTGGTGAGGGAGGCTCTCCATCACCTGGAAGTCCAGCCAGTGGTGGGAGCTGGGCTGGGGGGGCGGCTCGCTGGAGGGGCTCAGGACCTGGCGGATGAACTGGGTGAGGATGCCCAGGAACTGGCTGCTGCCACCAGGCACCAGGGATGAAGCGTTGGCTTGGCTCGGGGCTGTGGGGGACGGCAGCTCCTCGGTCCCGGCCTGGGGTGGGCTGCAAAGAGAGCACAGGGGAGGTCATGGAGTCCCCTGGTATCCCAGGGGTCCCTGCCCCACATCCTCCCACCACCACCCCGTGGCAGAAGGGCTGGGGCTGCCCCTCACACCCCCCCAGCTCCCAGCTCCTTTGTTTTTCCATGGCTGTGGTGAGGGACACAGACCTGAGCTGTGGGTAGGGAGCCATGTCCACCACCCCGTCGGCAGAGAGGTAGGATGAAGGAGCCAAAGCCATCTCCTCCTCCTCCTCCTCCCGCTGTGACTTGGCCAGCAGGAGCAGCACAGGGGTCATCCTGGTGAAGCACTTGTCGTCGGAGCCAAACAGGAGCTGCTGGGTCTCCGTGGGGGACAAGGGGGCACCTGGTGGGGACAGGAGAGGTGAAGAGGGTGGGCTGGGGTCCCCCACATGTCCCCAAAGCCCCTCGTTCCAAAGAGGATTGAGAGGATCCCAAACACCCAAGTCAGGGCCCAGAGGGCACAGCCACCCGTGTCCCACCATGGGCTTCCCGTGTCCCTACCTCCCTCCCCACCACGCCTGATGGCCAGGGAAGCCTGGAAGCTGAGCTCCTCGCTGGTGCGGGTGACAGACGCTACGGTGGCTCCCAGGACCAGGTACTGGGTGTCCTTGGCCAGGCAGAGGCTCTGCACGGGGGGGGGGAAGAGACACACCGAGGATGTGGATGAAGCATCACAGGGAGAGGGACACTCAAATAACACCCACCCCCCCTTCTGTGGTCCCTGCTGGCTCCAGGTCACCCCGTCTGTGGTGGCCCAGGGTGCAGCAACATGGGAGGGTCGGGACCCCCGGGAGCAGAGGGGGCAGGGGGGCTCCCCACCCAGCCCCAGTGCTGCTGCGGGAGCCGTGGGGTGCAGGGGGGACCCCCGGGTGGGCAGAGGGTCCCGAGCGGCCCCAGACCCGCTTCTCCTGGCAGTGGGGCCCTGGCTGCCGCCCCCGGACAGGCTGGAGACCCCCGGAGGAAGTGGGGAGCCGGGACCCCCAGAAGGTGCTGGGCACCCCGGGCTGTCCCTCTGTCCCTGCCGGAGCTGGGGACAGGGTAACAGCACCATCTTCAGGCACGGCTCGGGCCGGTGCGACAGGGCAGGGATGCTGGGAGGGGACGGGAAAAGACTGGGAGAGGATGGAAAAGGGATTGGGAGGGGATGGCAAAGGGGCTGGGAGGGGATGGAAAAGGGATTGGGAGGGGATGGCAAAGGGACCGGGAAGGGATGGAAAAGGGATTGGGAAGGGATAGAAAAGGTGCTGAGAGGGGACGGGAAAGGGACTGGGAAGGGATAGAAAAGGGACTGGGAGGGGATGGCAAAAGGGACTGGGAAGGGATGGAAAAGGGGCTGGGAAGGGATGGCAAAGGGATTGGGAGGGGATGGAAAAGGGATTGGGAAGGGATGGAAAAGGGATTGGGAAGGGATGGCAAAAGGGATTGGGAGGGGATGGAAAAGGGATTGGGAGGGGATGGCAAACGGACTGGGAGGGGATGGCAAAGGGATTGGGAAGGGATGGAAAAGGGATTGGGAGGGGATGGCAAACGGACTGGGAGGGGATGGAAAAGGGATTGGGAGGGGATGGCAAAAGGGATTGGGAAGGGATGGAAAAGGGATTGGGAAGGGATGGAAAAGGGGCTGGGAAGGGATGGAAAAGGGGCTGGGAAGGGGTGGAAAAGGGATTGGGAGGGGATGGCAAAAGGGACTGGGAAGGGATGGAAAAGGGACTGGGAGGGGATGGGAAAGGGACTGGGAGGGGATGGAAAAGGGACTGGGAAGGGGTGGAAAAGGGATTGGGAGAGGATGGCAAAGGGACTGGGAAGGGATGGAAAAGGGATTGGGAGGGGATGGCAAAGGAACTGGGAAGGGATGGAGAAGGGATTGGGAGGGGATGACAATGGGATTGGGAAGGAATGGAAAAGGGATTGGGAAGGGATGGTAAAGGGATTGGGAAGGGATGGAAAAGGGATTGGGAGGGGATGGCAAAGGGATTGGGAAGGGATGGAAAAGGGATTGGGAGGGGATGGAAAAGGGTCTGGGAGGGGAAGGAAAAGGGACTGGGAGGGGATGGAAAAGGGACTGGGAAGGGATGGCAAAGGGACTGGGAGGGGATAGCAAAGGGACTGTGCCCTCAGATCCAAGACACCCCCACCACCCCCCTCCCTGCACCCAGGACTGGACCCCCCCCGGCTGCGGCCACTCACCTGCTCCTGTGTTAGCCCCGTGCCCGTGGCCAGCAGCTCCTCCCGGTGCCCGGCCCCGGGCCCCTCTCTGTTGCCCAGGTAGAAGAGCAGCAAAGCGACCTGCAGCTCTCCCAGCGACTGGCCCACCTCCGCCTGGAAAACCAGCTGGAACCACAGCTTTGCCTGGGCCTCCCACTTCACTGGAAAGGAGAAGACGGGGGTGTGAATGGTGCCTTGGGTGGCTGCAGGGATCCAGGGGGGTGATGGGTGAGGAAGGGGCTGTGGGACTGAGAACTAGTCCCACACAGTGGCCAAGAGCATCCAGGATGGGAGCTGACGGGGTGGAGGGATGTGGCAAATCCCCTTTCTGGTTCCAGGGAGGGGGGCAGGGGGGGCAAACCCTGTAGCCCCAGTGAGTCAGGGGCTGCCGTGCTCCCGGAGCGGCTCAGGCAAATTTTCATGGGCAGATCCCCATGGAAATCTCTTCTCCCACGGCAGCTCCGCTGGTGGCTCGGGGACATTGTGGCCATTGCATTGGGTGAGGAAGGGGCTGTGGGACTGAGAACTAGTCCCACACAGTGGCCAAGAGCATCCAGGATGGGAGCTGACGGGGTGGAGGGATGTGGCAAATCCCCTTTCTGGTTCCAGGGAGGGGGGCAGGGGGGGCAAACCCTGTAGCCCCAGTGAGTCAGGGGCTGCCGTGCTCCCGGAGCGGCTCAGGCAAATTTTCATGGGCAGATCCCCATGGAAATCTCTTCTCCCACGGCAGCTCCGCTGGTGGCTCGGGGACCTTGTGGCCATTGCACCCCAACCAGCAATGCATTTCCCCCAGCCTGGGGAAAATCACTTCCCGGCACTGGCCAGTTTCCCAACCAGCAGCACTGCCTGGGGAAAATCACTTCCCGGCACTGGCCAGTTCAGCTGAAAATCCAAAATCTGGGAGGGGAGGAAGCGATTTCAAGAGAGGAACAACTGTGATCCTCTTGGTACAGGGGAATAAACCCGAGGGCTCAGCCAGGGTGCCCTCCCTCAGGCACAGCTCTTACCACCCAGACGGGGCAGAGGGACACACGTCGCTGGGTTTTGTGTGAGGCTGAAGCTGCACGAAGCAGCCGGACCCCGGGCTCCCCGGCAGCACCGAGCACCAGGGACCGGCACGTGCTGCAGCCCCCTGCGAGCCCCCGGGGCTCCCACTGCAGCAGGACCACTCGCCCAACCCAACCCTCTCTTTTCCCAGTCGGACAAAGTTGGGATGGGGCCCTGTCCCACCTCGTTAAGGCAGAGAGTGAGAAAGACTCATTATCTCGACAGCAGAGGAGACGCCACCGAGGCTGTGGCACCTTGGCATTACTCCCAGGCAGGGACAGGGCACCCTGTTCCACCCCAGCTGTTGGCACCACTAAAGCTTCTGAAAGATGAACATTTACTGCCCCGCTTGTCTAATTTTAAAAGGAACCCAACCCCCCAAATGTTAATTCTGTGTTTAAATCTCTGATTTAGGGCAAGGAAACAGCCTTGGCCTCGGCGCAGGGGTTTCTCACCAACCTTCCTGCAGATGCAGCACGAGGAACCGATCCTGCCCCGGCTCCACCACGTGCGCGTGGATGCGCTTCAGGGGATGGAGAGCAGGACCCGCCGCCCCGGCCGGGCAGAGCCCGAAGGTCTCCAGAGAGCTCTCAGAGTCCCAGCCGGTGCCTTGTCTCAACAGCTTGATGAAGTTGCTTTCGTAGTGGGTGAGAACCCCCACAACCTCCAGGTGCCTCGGGGTCAGCCCGTCCTGGTCCATCTTCACCCTGCAGACGGGTCCTTCCAGCCCCCCCAGTGGCCACGGGTGCAAGCTGGAGCCGGCCCAGCCGATGCCCCCACCCTCAGCCATCCCCGGGGAGCATCTCGCTCCGGGGTCAGGCTTCGAGAAGAGGCGAGTAGCCACGGTCACCCTCGATCTCGCCGCCGAGCCGGGCCTCACTCTTTCCTGTAAACTCACATTTTCTCTCTTTCTCTCCTCTCCTTCAAGTCCCAGCTCCAGGGGGTGGATTGGGGGGACCCTTTCCCCCGCGCCCTCTTTCCTGGGCAGTGCCGCCGAGGGGAGCGACAGCACCAGGCAGGGCAAGAGCACCCCGAGAGCAGCCCTCATCTTCCTTCCCACTTCAGCTTCTCCCCAGGTGGTGGCTGGAGCCGCTCACACACATCTCAGAAGGTTTGGGCAGGAGGGGAGGACGGCGGCTCCCTTTTAAAAACCGGTGGCCTTGAGTTGACAACACACCTCCCCTGAGAAACTCAAAGGCTGTCATGCTGGAGAGGAGGGAGGGATGTTTCAAAGAAGCTTTTTTTTTGTTCTATTTTTGGGTTTGCATCTAGTATTAGAAATGTTTTTTAAAAAAAAAAAAAAAAAAAAGAAAGAAAATATTAAAGCTGTTTCCTTTACTCGTGGGGACGCACGTCCTTGACTTCAGATGTTTTCTGCAGGAGGATGGACGTCTAGACTTGGATCTTCATGGGGACTGGCACGTGCTATTCCCATCGGCAGTGAAACACCGGGAGGGAAGAATTAGCCAGACCAGGAGGAGGGAGATGAGGAGAGATAACAGGCAGAAACTAAGTAAAAATGTATGGAAAGCGTCCTCCTGGGTCCCCCCTGGGCGGGCACCTCACCCGCTGCAGCTCGGACACTGCAGAGTTGACTTAGAAAGTCTCACCCCACAAGTCTTATAAAGACTTCTTTCGTCTATAAGATGCCAACGCTCACTCTAACACTTGGAATTACCAAATCGCCCCCCAGAGAAGCTTCCCCCCCAACCCAAGGTATCGCCTTTTTTTGGGAAGGGAGGGCAGGGGGAAAGGTACCTGCCAAAAAGCTCCACCGCACACCCAGGCCCTTCTCTGGGCTTCCAAGACTGCAGTTTGGAGCTGAGGATCTGGCTGCAGCACGTCATGAACACATCCCAACCAGAGAGGGACAAAGGCCACCACCCCACAGGGCTGGGGGAGGACCTCTCTCCTCCAGGAGCTGGGACAAAGGACACTCAAAGGGGGGGCCCTCACGGGCCAATTCGGGCATCGGGCTCAGCTCCAGCCCAAGCATTTCAGGAAAAGCCAGCAGGGATTGGGCACGCTCTGCCCGGCTCCAGGTAGGACCCAGCAGAAGGGGTGAAGCCTTTGATTCCTCCATCAAAGGGGCACGAAGCTGCAGGGCTGTGGCCACCAAAACCTCCCCTGTGGCCCATGAAATGAGCCAAGAGTGAGGCTGGGTCAGACACCTCAACATCCCGCAGTGAGACACCCTCTGGTTCAGAGAAATCAACCCTGGAAAGGACAGAGAGGAGAAATCTCAGAACTTCTCCTTTTTAATGGGAACCAAGTGATTGTTTGAAGGAAATATTTAGTATAAATAAACGCACAGAGGAGGGAAGAGCTTGCCAACCCCAGCCCCAGAGTGGGAGGATATATACAATAAAAACCAGCCACGACAGCAGGTGCTTCCTAACGGTACAGACAACATTTAATGAGTTATAGCAATAAACGAAGACTTAATGTCACTGCAGCTTTGGCAATTTCTTTTGATTAAACATTCCCAGAGATCCCTGCCGCCGCCGCAGAGGAGAGCACGGCACTGTGCCCGTGAGCCCAGGTTTGGCATGAAGGTCCTCAGGAGCAGCTGTGTGCCGGGGAAGGATGGGTCCCTCTCCCAAACCCTCAATGAATCCTGGCTGTTGCTTTTCAAGGACTCACTCTCGAGACACGGGCCAAACCCACTTCCTCAGTGGAGATGTTTCCAGCTTCAGCTGGCAGCACTGGAGCGACACAGCGCTGGCAGCGGGAGGAACAAAGTGGATTCTGAATGCAGCAGGAGCGATGCTCTTCTGTGATTGAGCAGGAAGACAGAGAAAACTGGCCAAGAAAGCCACCAGCACCCTGGCCTGTGTCAGGAACAGCGTGGGGAGTAGGGCCCGAGAGGTGATTGTCCCCCTGTACTGGGCACTGGTGAGGCCTCCCCTTGAGTGCTGTGTCCAGTTTTGGGCCCCCTACCATAAAAAAGACATTGAGGTGCTGGAGCGAGTCCAGAGAAGGGCAACAAAGATGGTGAGGGGTCTGGAGAGTAAGTCTTATGAGGAGAGGCTGAGGGAGCTGGGGTTATTCAGCCTGGAGAAGAGGAGGCTGAGGGGAGACCTTATTGCTCTCTACAACTCCCTGAAAGGAGGGTGTAGAGAGATGGGGGTCGGTCTCTTTTCTCAAGTCACAGGTGACAGGACGAGAGGAAATGGCCTCAAGTTACGCCAGGGGAGGTTCAGGCTGGATATTAGGAAAAATGTTTTCACTGAAAGGATCATCAGCCATTGGAATGGGCTGCCCAGGGAGGTGGTTGAGGCCCCATCCCTGGAGGTGTTCAAAAGACGGGTTGATGTAGTGCTGGGAGGTATGGTTTAGTGATGATGCTCCTTGTTTGTTGTGTGGGTGTCTATTTTTGTCAGTGAGGTTGACGGTTGGACAAGATGATCTTTAAGGTCCCTTCCAACCTAGAAGATTCTGTGATTTAGAAAACTCTGCTCGCCCTCCATCCTAATCTCTGGGGATGCAGGAACAGTCCTTGCCATGTGTCCATGACAGGTCTCCCCATCACCAAACCAACGGCTTTGTAATGGGCTCCAGCAGAACAACTGATTCTGGGACACACATCCAAGAGTGTGGAGTCTTGGAGTGCTCCAAGAGGGGACAAAAGGTTACACCAACACGGCCCAGGCTGATGGAGCCCTTCAGTTAGAAGAGGGTGAAGAGCCTGGAGATCTCCAACCCTTTGCCTCCTCTTTGGAAAACTGCCCAAACATAACCAGACTGAGAACGTTTTATACATTTAAGAGCTAAAGAAAGTGAACACAGGGCAACAGTTTGAACCAAGACGCAGGAAAACATAGAGAAAGGAAAATTGAAAACCTTTTAATGAACCTACAGGATCTAATCGAACTCACAGACATACAAAAAGGAACATTTCTCTGAATCAGTTGTGATCTGCATATAAAAAGAGAGGAGCCAGAGGGGACCGAGTCCGGGAGGGGCTTTCAGTTGGAGGGAGGAGGAGGGGGGATAGTGCCCGGCCCCTCTGTGGGGAGGGGGGGTCTCATCATGGGGGGCAGAGGAGCAGGGGGGGGTACACCGGGTGCTGGTGGCAACTGGGGTGGCACCGGGGGCGGTGGCACTGGTCCAGAGGGAGGCATGGGAGGCAGTGTCATGCCTCCCGGCGGAGGAGGCGGCATGGTGTCCGGCAGCGGCGGCCTCGGGGGCAAACCGTTCATCAGAGGAGGTGGAGGGGGCCTCTTCACAGTTGGGGGCCCTGGAGGGAGGTTTGGGGGAGCTGGGGGCTTCTCCATCTTGAAGTGGAATTGAAGGAAGAACTGGGGAGGGGAGAAAAGCAAAAGAGAAGGGAACAATGATGAATCCTCAGGGCAGCTCGGACCCCTCCTGACACCCACGGACCGTGGCTGCCTCCCTCCCTGGCACCTCCTGACCTGCACCAGTCTCCTCCAGTACTTCAACCCCTCTGAAACTCACTCTAAGTGCTGACAGCTCGGACCCCTCCTGACATCCCCAGACCGTGGCTGTCTCCCTCCCTGGCACCTCCTGACCTGCACCAGTCTCCTCCAGTACTTTAACCCCTCTGAAACTCACTCTAAGTGCTGAACCACCCGTGATGGGGTGGGTGTCCCCCCCGTGCATTCCTCCCCTGCTCTCCCAGTGAGGACATCCACGCTCCCAGGGAGCTGGGTGCAGGCCACGTGCAGCGAGGAGCCCCAGGAGGACACAGCACTGCAGGTTTCTGCAGGGTTCTGCTGCCACAGACAGCAACCAGGGCTTCCACCTCCAGGGTTAAAGTCTCACCCAGGAAGATCTCTGTGTCAGGAGGAGCCACTGCACAGTTCCATTGAAGGAATGAAGGTTTCAGCATCAAAGCCAGCAGGGATCTAACGGATGCACACCCTCCCCACGCTGCTCTGCCCTCCTGCTCCCTCTCTACCCCTCAGGAAGGAGGTTGAGGAGCTCCAGGTACCTGTTTGGTTTCCCTGTTCCAGTGGGTCCAAAACTTCCCTTCTGCTTTGTCGATTTCTCTGCTTGGCACCTGCAACAAAAAAGAATAAGAAGCTATTATTAGCACCACCAGATTAGCTCAACGGCCCTTTTTAGCACCAGAGCCTGCAAGATAAGCACAGTTATTCCAGGCCTTTGTGAGATGCGCTGGTCTCGGATGTTATTAGATAGAGATGGGGGCAGGAAAGAATTAAGTTACCTCCCTATCGGTCAAGGACAAGTGTGTTGGCAAAAAACCCGCTCTTAACATCTGCACAGAGGCTGAGGAGCAAAGCCCAGAAGGCTCCTTTATGTGCCAGACACCACGAATTCAATGGCTCCCCAGAGCACAGCTCTCAGCCTAGTTTTCATGCCAGAGTCCTCCACTAATCCCCAGCAGGGTTTAATGACTTCCAGCCACGTCTTCTTGACCACCCTCCTTCCCACTCCATTAACCCCCTGAACACTAGAAGTCTACAATAACACTCACTGGGAACTCATGTCTTGGAAAACCACAGAACCACATGGGGTTGGAAGGGACCTCTGGAGATCATCTCCTCCACCCCCCTGCCAGAGCAGGGTCACCCAGAGCAGGTCCCACAGGAACGTGTCCAGGCGGGGTTGAATGTCTCCAGAGAAGGAGACTCCACCACCTCCCTGGGCAGCCTCTGCCAGGGCTCTGCCACCCTCAGAGTCAAGAAGTTCCTCCTCATGTTTAGATGGAACTTCCCATGTTCAAGTTTGTGCCCATTTCCTCTTGTCCTGTCCCTGGGCACCACTGAAGAAAGACTCTCCCCATCCTCCTCACCCTTGGGCAGCCTCTGCCAGGGCTCTGCCACCCTCAGAGTCAAGAAGTTCCTCCTCATGTTTAGATGGAACTTCCCATGTTCAAGTTTGTGCCCATTTCCTCTTGTCCTGTCCCTGGGCACCACTGAAAAAAGCCTGGCCCCATCCTCCTGACACCCACCCTTGAAGTATTTATAGGTGTTGATCAGATCCCCCCTCAGCCTTCTCTTCTCCAGACTGAACAGACCCAAGTCCCTCAGCCTTTCCTCTGAAGGAAAATATGGGAAGGGAGCTTTCCCAATAATAAAAGAATCCCAAATCTTACCTTGAAAGCAATGGTTTCATAGGGCTCCGCTGCCATCAGCAGGTACTGCCAGCGCCTGTCGGGGGGCTCGATCCGTTGCTCATAGGCTGACATGAACCGGTGACGAGGCATGATGCTTTCTGCAATCTCTGGATAATCAATCTGTTGGGGTGATATTGGGGTGATTAAGGAGAGCACCCCCTTTTCACTCCTCCTTCGTACAAACCAAATCCCTCAGATGTGAGGCAGAGCAAGAGCCCAGTTCCAAACAGGTAACTTTGTGCCACCGAAAGAAACAGCCTGACAACTGCCATCATGGATTTCCATCAGCAGAGGACCAGCAAGGTAGGATCTGTCTCTTTATTTATTTATTTCAGGAATCCTGTCAACAACTGCTCATTTAGCAGCACTTGCATAACCCAAACACCAAGAGTTTAACAGTGCCCTTACCTGGAAGAGAAGGCTCTGCTGGCCTGTTTCTGGATCTCGCTGTTTGGTCACTGTAAAGAAAATATGAAAGCTCATAATATAGAACCATAGAATTGTCCGGGTTGGAAAGGACCTTTAAGATCATCCAGTCCAACCATCAACCTAATTCTGATAAAACCCATCACTAAACCATGTCTGTAAGAACTGTGTCAACCCATCTTTTAAATCCCTCCAGGGATGGTGCCTCAACCCCTGCCCTGGGCAGCCCATTCCAAGGCTTAATAACCCTTTCCATGTAAAAATTGTTCCTAATCTCCAACCTGAACCTCCTCTGGTGCAATTTGAGGCCATTTCCTCTTGTCCTGTCGCCTGTTCCTTGGGAGAAGAGACCGACCCCCCCTGGCTACACCCTCCTTTCAGGGAGTTGGAGAGAGCGAGAAGGTCTCCCCTCAGCCTCCTCTTCTCCAGCAGGGTTAGAGCAACATTGCTTCTGCCCCAGGAAACACACAAAGCTTCCAGCAACATTGTTCCAACAAGATTTTTCTCCATTTTATTAAAAAAAACCAAACCTGCCACTTGGTCTCTAACCAAAGCTACAAAGGATCTCTACCAAAATTCAGCTGCCGTGGGGCAGGAAAAAGCTGGGAGATAAAGCAGCAAAGTTTTGTAGCAAAGGCCAAAACAATGGGGAGTTCAGAGCAAGAACTTGAGCTATCCATGCAACGAGTGATTTATGAGCATTAGGGAAAGATGGTCCAGGACAATAAAAGGAGAAGAGAGTCTGAAATAATGTCATCATCTCCTGCATGACTACTAACGAGAGCTGAAAGACTGAGACGTCCCGATCTATTATTAAAACGGCTCTCACTCGACTGTCAGCAATAAAGAGATGTTCCATGGGTAATTTAAACAATAAAGGACATCAGGACATAAGCCCATTTCTTATTCATGGACAGATCTGCTAAAAAGGCTAATTAATAATTCACATCCACAGCAGTGCACATCAGGCAAGCTCCGGCAGGCACCGGTGTCTCCGGTGACAGACCCCCCGGACGTACCTTTGTAACCCGGTCGTCCAATTTTCACAAATTTCTTCACTTCCACTTTGACTTTTTCTGGCGCAGGCTGGGCAGGGGCTTCCTTGGCTTCCTTGGCAGCTCGACGGGCCCTGGATTCATTTGAAACGTGCTAAATTTAAAAGGGTACCCCAACTTGTTTTTTAAAGAACACAAACTGAGCAGTTTGAATCCCTCGCCACGGAATCCTCAGTGCTTGATAGAAAGGACACCAAGAAAACCTGTGTTTTCTCTTCCACACCCCCCACCACGCCTTCCCCTGACTAAAGGCTGTCATCTCAATTCTCTCATCCACCCCCAAGATGACCTTGGTGCCCGTTCTCCACAGACTGGTTAGAGAAGACTTACTTCTTGAAATAAAAAAGAAAAAAAAACCCCACAAGCCAGCCATCTAAACCAAACCAAACTGGATTTCTCAAAATAAAGCTTAAAAATTTCTCCCAACCGCTATTCACAAAGCCTGGTCCTTGTAACTAGACTCAGACAATTTGCTTTTAAAATTCTTTTTCCTCCTCCCTTCAGAAATCATACAACTGGCTTTGAACTGGAGCTCCAAATGGAGCCTGTGAGCAGCTCTTTTTGGAGCAGATTTAGGCTGTTCCTCCCAGTTAGTGCCAGGAAACAAGTGCAGTCAGAGAACAGTCGAGCCCCACGTGCTACTCTGTAATGAGTTGAAGATTTCTAGATGCACACAAGCACCATTTTAAAGTGCTTCAGTACCAGAGAATAAAGCTTACAAAGAACGACTTACAAATTGGTCTGATGCTTCTTCCCCTGGGTATGTGCCAAGTAACTCCCCTGAAAGAAAAAAGAAGGTAGAAGAAAGTTAAATGGAGACAGGACTGTTCCTGCCCTGACAGATCCAGAGACCACACCACACATTGATGAGGATATTTTAATCCTTAGGAAAGAGGAATCTTACTCAAAAATTGCAGAATGCTCTCAATTGCTGAACTGTCACAAAGTGTCAGGTTTAAGAGACACAAGGTGCCACCATCTCCTCGGGCATCACTCATCGGGCACGGCCCTGGCTCTTTCACTCAAAGCCACTATTATTCTAAAATCCCTGCTGTCTGACCAAGGCACAGAGCTCTTCTACTCACCTCGTTGTTGTGCAGCGTCAGGCAAAGCTTGCATTCGTAAGAGCCCAAGTGATTTTTCATAAAATAAGGGTCCTAGGAAGAGAATTGTGTAAAAGTTATAAGCAAAACACGCGGCAAAACAACAGAACAGCCAAAATATTTAATCCCCAACTTCTGCTGCATTGGAATAACTGGGTTTGTAAAATTAAATTAATAGCATAACGCTGCCCTAGGACTATGAAAAGAGAGAGAAACAACAGCAGCTTTGTTCATTGGTGACAGCATCCCAACTGCAGGCAAGAAACAGCAAAATACCATCAAGTCCCTAGAAAAGTGAAAATCATAGAATGGTTTGGGTTGGAAGGGACCTCAAAGATCATCGAGTCCCAACCCCCCTGCCCTGGGCAGGGACACCTCCCACTAGAGCAGGTTGCTCAAGGCCCCATCCAGCCTGGCCTTGAACACCTCCAGGGATGGGGCAGCCACAGCTTCCCTGGGCAACCTGTTCCAGTGTCTCACCACCCTCATGGTAAAAAACGACATCCTGGTCTCAAAATTGGAAACCCATGGATTTGATGGATGGGCCACTGGGTGGATAAGGAGCTGGCTGGACAGCTGCACCCAAAGGGTGGCAGTCAAGGGCTCAATGTCCAGGTGGTGGCCAGTAAGGAGTGGTGTTCCTCAGGGGTCAGTACTGGGACCAGTACTATTTAACATCTTTGTTGGAGACATGGGCAGTGGGATAGAGTGCACCCTCAGCAAGTTTGCTGATGACACCAAGCTTGGTGGGGCAGTTGACACGCTGGAGGGAAGGGATGCCACCTCAGCACAGAATACACAGCTACTTGAATACACAAGCGCCGGCATCTCCCTGGGCAGCCCCATCACAAAGGTGTTTCTCGTTTGGCTCCCACGTTACCAGAAACAGAAATATTTCATTTCAACCCACAACTCTGCACTAAATCTCTCCCCCCAGCAGGCTGCAGGCAGGCAGAGCCCAGGGCTCACCTTGTTGATGTCGATGGTTTCCAGGGCCAGCTGCCGGAGCCTCTCCCTGCGGTCGCGGTTACTCTCCGAGGCAGAGGCGACGCCTCCGCTGCCGGTTTTACCTCCAGGACGGTGCTGAAAATCCATGATGGGGGGTTTCTGTGCTTCAGCTACTTACGGAGAAAGAGTCTGGAAAAATGAGGAAAAGCCAACGTCAGGGACAACCAACGCTTTTCCTACCCCGGAGTTCACACCACTCTTTAGACCCGTCAGCGAGGACACGAGAGGAGCAGCACAAACCCACGGAACTCCCCACGTGGTGCAACTTCAAATGGAGCCCATTTCAGTAAGTTTCACTGAACTTCACTGAATTTTAGAGTTGGAAGGGACCATAGAGATCATCTAGTCCAACTCCCCTGCTGAAGCAGGATTGCCTAGAGCTAGAGCATGTTACTCAGGAGCATCCAGGCGGGTCTTGAAAATCTCCAAAGAAGGGGACTCCACACCCTCCCTGGGCAGCCTGTTCCAGGGCTCTGCCACCCTCACCGTGAAGAAGTTTCTCCTCATATTTGAGTGGAACCTCTTCTGTTCCAACTTGTGCCCGTTGCCCCTCGTCCTCTCACTGGGAACCACTGAAAAGAGTCTGGCTCCCTCCTCCTTCAACCCTCCCTTGAGATACTTGTCAGCATTGATAAGGTCTCCCCTCAGCCTTCTCTTCTCCAGACTAAAGAGTCCCAGCTCTCTCAGCCTTTCTTCATGAGGGAGATGCTCCAATCCTTGAATCATCTTTGTTGCCCTTCGCTGGACTCTTTCTAGTAGTTCCCTGTCCCTCTTGAACTGGGGAGCCCAGAACTGGACGCAGTACTCTAGTTGTGGCCTCCCCAGTGCAGAGCAGAGGGGGAGAATGACTTCCCTTGACCTGCTGGCCACACTCTTCCCTCTGCAACCCAAGATTCCATTGGCCTTCCTGGCCACAAGAGCACACTATTTGCTCATTGTCATTTTACTGTCCACCAGGACCCCTAGATCGTTCTCTTCAGTAGTTGCCTCCAGCAGGTCCACCCCTAACCTGTACTGGTACCTGACATTTTTCTTCCCCAGGTGCAGGACCCTACACTTTTCCCTGTTGAGTAGAAGTAAAATGATCCAAAATAACAAGGCCCCTGAGCTCCCTTCTTCTCCGCAGAGATGCATCCCTCCCCAAAATCCACAGCAGCTCCCCCCAGCCAGGACCCTCCCACCCTCCATCTCAGCAGCAAACAGCCCCA